AGCTCCCTTCTCCAGGGCTGCGCTGGAAATATAAACAGGACACATCAGGACAGTTGTGGGTTCAACTACATACGCAGTGATCTGGGAAGGAGCATGATTTCCCATCACACTCAATTTAGCAATCTTGGATCCTGTGGTTCTTTTACTATACCGCCCTTCAAACAGAGGATGGGTGAGTACCCTCAAAACCAACATTACACACGAGCCCTTGGAGGGTGAGCAGGAAAGGCAAGCCCAAGACACTTACCCACAGCCAGCATGCCATGCTCCAGATCCCCAGACATCTCCCGACAGATGCTCTTCTCAATGTCTCGACCCGTCATTCTCTGATACTCATTGAAAACTAGTGGGAAGGCAGGAGGGCTACGTTAAGGACTGAACTGCATGCTCCCCAAATCCATATATTAAAATCCTAGCCCCACATACCTCAGAATATAACTGTATTTAGAGATAAGATCTTTAAAGAGGTAATTAAGTTAAAACAAGGACATCAGGGTGGGCCAATCTCACTGGTGTGCTTAGGAGGAGAAATTAGGACACACGAAAGAGATATCAGGGATGTGCACAAACAAGAGAAAGGACTGCATGAGGACACACTGGGAAGGAGGCTGTCTACAGCCAGGAAGAGAGGCCTTAGAAGGAACCAATGCTGCCAGCACCTTGACGCTGGACTCCTAGCCTCCAGAACTGTAAGAACACTAACTTCTGTTGCTTAAGCCATCCAGTCTGTGGCATTTTGTCACAGCAGCCCAAGCTGACAGACAGAACACATGTGAGGAGACCTCTGCCCCTCCAGGAGCCCACCTCTCTCACTCTGCTCCCAGTGCCCTGGACAGCCCCACCTACCATGCCTGCCCAGCTCTCAGGGAGCCAGACTTGTCACAAGTCACAAGCACAGCCCGATGTCCTTTAATTATGCAGATCCCTTACTAGGACTGCCCTCGCCAATCTGCCTACCCAAATTGCACCTTAATCCTCCCTCCAGGACCCACCCCCCCAGCACCAACAGTGTCCCCTCTCTTCTCAAATCCCCTGCGCTTCCTGTCCACCCCACTCCTTCTCTGTTATTTCACACATCAGTCCCGTCTTTCTCAATATGACTGTGAGCTAAGGCCCAGCCAGCCACAGCCAGCTGGGCTCTCTGCTGGTGCCCCTCTAGCTTTACTTAGGACAAGCACAGCACCACAGGAGTGGGCTGCTGGCTCTAGAGAGACAGGTGGCACAGTACAGACCTGGGTCCTAACTCTAGCTCTGAACTTGAATATAACTCTCTTCTTCCCCAGTCTGGGTCGCAGTTTCTGTCAGTTTCTCCAAACTTGTGCCTCTGGCATCTCAAAGTCGTGGTTCCTACTACATCTGTGTCTGTCTCAGCATTTATTCAAATCAGCTACTCTTTTCTCCTAAGTAACAGTATTTGTGACACTGTGGGTTTGATGTGATACTTGTATGTTCCATACTCATGAAAGTAATGATTGAAGGCTAGCGGGTTGGCTCAGTCAGTCAGAGCGCAGTGGATCTCTGTACCAGCCACCCGCCAAAAAAAAAAAAGCACAAATAAAATAATGATTAAGATGAAAACATGTTCACTCACACTCCATTGTAGTACCATGTAAAAGGTCTGCTCTGGGGCCAGATAGCCTGGGTTCAAACCTGAGCTCAGCCACGACACCAGCTAGGTAAGTCAGCCAACCTCCCCAGCCGCCCTGCGCCTGCTCCCGCAGCTGTAAGTAGGGAGAACCACAGCACCTATGTGCGAGCACTGCAAGACTCAGCGAGCGTTCAGCACGCAGCCCAGGGCCTGGCACAGAGCGGGTGTTGCGCAGCTGTAAGTCGGGAGAACCACAGCACCTATGTGCAAGCACTGCAAGACTCAGCGAGCGTTCAGCACGCAGCCCAGGGCCTGGCACAGAGCGGGTGTTGGGGTTTTCACCCTCACTCTGGCCAGGGCTCTCCATGCTGCTGCGTGTGGTCTCAGTCCTTGCCTGCCTTCTCACATTAACCATCCAACACAGCTGGCCTCTGGGACTCGGGACTCCCCTTTCCCAGAGCCTCAGACACCTTCAACTATTCATAGCTCCCACACTTCCATCTCCAGCCCATACCCAAGCTGACCTCCAGAGTCATGAGCCCAACTGCCTACCTCACACCTCTATCCCAAGGCTGCTGCTTTCCTTCCCTCCTAAAGCCTCTCCATCCACAGCTTCCCAATCTCAGTTGAGGGCCACTCCATTCTCCCACTTGCTCAGCCAGAAAAACAAAAACCATATCACCTCCAACTCCTCTCTCTCTCCCCCATGCTCCATGTCCAATTCATCAGCAAACAGGGTAGGACCCTGACCCCTTCTCACTGCCTGTCCCTACCACCCTGATCCAAGCCACCATTGTTTCTCCCCTGGGCCACTGCAGCAGCCTCCGAGCTGGTCTCCTGCCCTGCCACGGACACCGCCACTCTCTTCTCGACACAACAGCTGGTGGACATGCAAACCCTCCTCATTCAGAGCCCTCCAGTGGCTTCCTGTTTTGCTCAGGACACACATCTAACTCCATGCAGCTGTCAGCAGGGCCTTCCACCCTCTGTGACCTCACCTCCTACTTCTCACTCACTCCATCCATCCAGACACATGGACCCCTCCCATGTCTTAGCTGCGCTGAGAACCCCCCGAGGAGAGCTTCTGCGCCTGCATCTCCCACTTTTGGTCTTTAAACCAAAAGTTGTGACCTCAGTGAGGACTGCCCCAAGCACCTCCCCCAGGGCCCTACCCCATCACTTCCTGTCCCTGTTTCCAGCTGTATTATTTTTCTCTACAGCATTTACCAGCTGATACACATTTCATTTAATTTTCACTTACTGTCTGTCTCTCCAAACAGGACGGTGAATCCCAGGAGAACAGAGACTCTATGGTGCTCTGTTCCCTACCTCTTCCCCACACCCACTCCACCACCTCACAGACTGCACATTTGACATCTGTTGGATGAACGAGTAAATGAACGTTACCTGGCATTACTGTTATAATTGTTTCTCCTGCCACACTTTGGAAAACACTGGATGAGGTGCTCCCGAAGGGCTCTCCCAACTCTAAGATTCCATATTCCAGCATATGCCACACACCTAACTCCATGCAGCTGTCAGCAGGGCCTTCCACCCTCTGTGACCTCACCTCCTACCTCTCACTCACTCCATCCATCCAGACACATGGACCCCTCCCATGTCTTAGCTGCGCTGAGAACCCCCCAAGGAGAGCTCCTGTGCCTGCATCTCCCACTTTTGGTCTTTAAACCAAAAGTTGTGACCTCAGTGAGGACTGCCCCAAGCACCTCCCCCAGGGCCCTACCCCATCACTTCCTGTCCCTGTTTCCAGCAGTATTATTTTTCTCTACAGCATTTAGCAGCTGATACACATTTCATTTAATTTTCACTTACTGTCTGTCTCTCCAAACAGGACGGTGAATCCCAGGAGAACAGAGACTCTATGGTGCTCTGTTCCCTACCTCTTCCCCACACCCACTCCACCACCTCACAGACTGCACATTTGACATCTGTTGGATGAACGAGTAAATGAATGTTACCTGGCATTACTGTTATAATTGTTTCTCCTGCCACACTTTGGAAAACACTGGATGAGGTGCTCCCGAAGGGCTCTCCCAACTCTAAGATTCCATATTCCAGCATATGCGCACACCAGCCACGGCAGGCTCCCTCTTCCTCACCTCTTCCTTTGCTTCCTACAGAGCCAGGTGCTTGCCGGAATTCAGGAAACCCTCTGAGAGTCTCTCTTTAAATCACCACCAGGGGGCTGTTTTGAGGACACGAAAGCCCCACACAGAGAGGAACCACCAAGTGTTCTCACGAGCTTGGCTTGTGCCCTGCCTGCCTTCATTTCACTTACTGGCCCCGGGGAGACCCTGATCACTGTACCTGCCACCAGGTGGGCCCGGCTCCTGGAGCACAGAATTGCGTTGAACTTGGACTCGTCTGTTCCCAGGCGATTCTCCCCAGCCGCATACAGCTCCTGGACAGAGAGGAAGACACACATGCAACCTGGCCTCCCCCCAGACCCCAGGCCACCCAGGAAAGCTGGGCAGTGTGCGGCCTGTGAGCAGTGCCCGGCTGTGGGAGCACAGGTTTGCCGAGCCCCTGCTGTGCTCCATTCGCTGTGCTAAACCAGACACTACCCACATATCCCCTTGCTGGGTGGTCCAGAGGATCCTGAGGCTGTGGGGAATCCGGACCAGGACAACAAAAGCTGGGCAGTGTGCGGCCTGTGAGCAGGGCCCGGCTGTGGGAGCACAGGTTTGCCAAGCCCCTGCTGTGCTCCATTCGCTGTGCTAAACCAGACACTACCCAGATATCCCCTTGCTGGGTGGTCCAGAGGATCCTGAGGCTGTGGGGAATCCGGACCAGGACAACCGAGCCAACTGAGGGCCCAGGTCAGGCAAGGAACAGCATTAACCTGACCAAGGGAACAATGCTGCAGAGAAGAAAACAAAACGAGAGGCCTAGGCTCACATCCTAGCTCGGCTACCAACTTGTCATGGACTCTAGACAGGCTACTGGCCCTCTCTGAGCCTCAGTTTCCTCATCTCTAAAATGTGAAGGCTGGATAAGATTTGGGGTCAAACATTTGAAAGCCTAAAGGAGCCTGCTGGGTAGCTTAACTAAGGGAAACAGGGCAGATGTAGAGCTGGGAGTGGTGGGGCCATGGCTAACCATGCAGGAGCCGTCACTTCTCAGCACCAGCTGCGTCCTGTGACAGAGGAACACAGGCTCACAGCTGCCAGAACCATTTCTCAGGAGAAGCCAAAACCCAGACTTCCATGTGAAATTTCCCAATCTTTAAAAGCAGTTTCCCTAGCTGTAAGAAGGAACATGTGCATCAACAAATATGACAGCCATTGAGATCACAGGTATGCATGTGGGGTTTCATGCACTTTGGCACGTCCCTTGTGTTTCCTCGCACACACCACTGTGTTTACAAAGGGGCAGAAATTACACTTTCCTGTCAAACTTTTGAAGGTTTGAGTCCAAAATAGTTGCCAATTTTCAACCTCTGAACTAGATGGCCTCTAAAGTACCTTGTAGGCCTCAGGATCTAGGGCACTGATATCCAAGGTCAGAGGGCAGCAATCAGGGCTCAATAAGGCCACAGTTCAAGAGGAGGCCAAAGCAGGTGCAGACTGAGAAGGCAGAGCAGAAAGCACGAGACCTCGAATCTGGGGCAACTCTGCCTCGGCTAGGAAAAACCCTGTACAATTCCCCCTGGGGCAAGAGTCAGAACACAGGAGGCTCAGGGACATCCCAACCCTGTGTCCAGAAATGGAAATGGATGTCATTAACCAGAAAGACACTGAATAAGGCAGACCCTGCAAGAGCAGCGGGTCTGGGACCAAGGCAGAGTCAGGATGTTCTCTGTGCCCAGAGAACAGAGCCAGGAGTCTGGGCTCTTGTCCAGGCTCTACCTCTAGGTTTCTCTGGACATAGTGCTCAACCTTTCTGAGCCTCAGTTTCCTCATATGAAAATGAGAAGGACCAGACCAGACAAGGGGGCATTCCACGAGGTCCTGCTGCACCCCAACAGATGGTAGAGATAATCAGACCACTGGCGATTCCTGGTGAATGCCCAGCATGGGTGGCAGGAGCAATGAAAGGGGAGAGAGAGATAGGACCAGCTCCATCCCACCAGGAGGCTGTGCTCTCTCCAGCCAGAACACTGTAGACTGAATTCATCAGTGGGAAACCCAAACTTCTCCACAGAGTAGCTCAGATGCCTGGACTTCCCCCCTTTTGTCTGCAACCCAAGAAGGGGACAGGGAAGAATTACAAGGCTGCACAACTAATGCAACAGCTGGTTTCTAGGCTCCAACCCTCAGAAGCTTAATAGGCAACTACAAATTGTGCTCCTTTGCAAAGACAATGGTACATGCCACAAAACACAAGAAAAGACCAAGTCTCAGGAAATCCTACATCCACAACTGATCTGACAACCACAGTAATATTTGTCATCTCACATGTTCCCTCTTATAGGTGGGGAAAGTGGAGCCCAGAAGGCTGCGGGGCCTGCACAAGGTCATGAGATCATAAGCAGCACATGTAACCCACTCCTTATCCATTGCTCTTTCCATCCAGAGCACCTGCCTGGTAAAGCAAAAAAGTGAGGGACACCCCTGGTTTAGGAAGCCCAGGTGGGGTAACTGGCCTGGCCATCACACTCACCTGGGCATCTTTTTGGACAAGGGACATGTCCACATTTGTACTTTCATCCCGGTTTCCCTGAAAGGAAGTAGGTGGTACAGTTACGCTCACGCCTTGGGAGGCATACTCCCTCCCTCCCCATTTCTCTTTCCTTTCCTCATTGCTCAGTTCCCACCTCTCTGATTCCCCGAGCCCTGTCACAGGAAAAGTACCTGAGAGAGAGAAATGAGGAGCCTCTGGAAGTGCCCTGATGTGTCGCTTCGAATGGCTTCCTCTAGGGTCTTTTTAAATTCTGAAAAAGAGAAACAAGGAAGGTCCACCCTGTAGCACTGTGGACAGAACTGTCCATTTCAGACACAGTCAGCAGTGGGCACCGGTGAGAGAAAGGCCCGGGATCCTAAGCTCAAGGAGACAGGTGGCCCATATGGCTCTGCAGGGTCATATAAGCCTGTGACCTCCAGGCTGACCTGACCTCTGGTCAGGCTTGGCCCAAACACCCCTCCCTTTCCTTAATTACTTTAGTGTGTAAACAGCACACAGGGTTGGGTCTTGGGTCAAAGCCCAGCATGCTGGGGATGGCAGGAGATGGGGTGATAAGAAGGCCAGGAAGAAATGAGAGGCCCTGGGAGAGGGTGTGGCCAAGGCCCAGAAAGCAGAAGGATTTGCAGAGGGCAGAGGGCCCCAGGAGCCAGCCTAACCTGCTTTGTAGGCTCTGTTCAGTTCCCGAATGTGCTCGTTGCTGCGGGAAGCGAGGATCTCAATCAGGCAGGCTTCATCAGTGCCAGCCCCCTGTGGTGGCAGAGAACACAATAAACCACATACTTGTCACAGCATCCTCACTCACCAGCGCCCTGGAAAGATGAAGGTGCCACACTGCTGCCCGCACCCCAGAGCACAAAGACCAGCAACAAAGGCCCCTTACACAGAGACATGCTCATTGTGTGGCTCTAGGCCTCAGAAAAACACCAGACACTGACGATGATGATGATGATAATGAATAGGGATTACACAAAGGTCACCCCCATGGATCAGGAAGCTGAGAATCCGAGAAACGTACTGACTTGTCCAAGGCCACACAGTAAATGGCCAGGTTGAGATGAGGACCCAAGTCTGTTTTATTCCAAGTTCAGCCCATGAGTGAGATGACGAACAACTGAGAAAATGGGCTAAAAAGCAAGAGAGATCAGAGAGGACATGTGGAAAGAATGGAGTCCTCAAGTGAGCTGTGTAGTGTCTGGAGACATGTAGGAAAAGGCAGCAACAAAGACAAACAGGACGATCACAGCAGGGAAAGTGAGAAGGTGGAGGACAGGGGTGGCAGCCTGGCGTTTATGTCGGTTTGAATCTCGTCTCTGCAGCTTACTAGCTGTGTGACCCTGAGCGTGTTACTGAACCTCTCTGTGCTTCATGCTTTTCTGTCTATAGAATGGGAGCCATACTAGTATCTAGCTCATAGGAAGTCATGAGGATTAAATGAGTCAACATACACAGAGCACTTAGAGCCTGCCAGGCAGGAAGCAGGACATGTCAGTTGTTTTTACAACAACCACTACCACTACCGTTAGATTACCTGAGTTTACAAAGGGCTTCCGCGTTTGCCACCTTACCCAGTGCTCACCACACACTGAGAACACCCACCAGCCACACTTCACAGCTGCTCAGCGACAGCTGACCCCAATCCTGTGTTGTTTCCTGCACTCCACAACCCCCACCCCACCCCATGAAGTTGGCTAGAGGCAGGAGCTGGGCAGAAGTCCAGGGGCCACTCCCTGGGGCTCCAGGCCACCCACCACCCTCCCCAACTGCCTCCTGAGCTCCTCCCTAAATAAAACACGTAGCTGTGTTTCAGCGAAGTCCTCTCTCCCTTCCAGGCCACCTCACTAAATTCTATGCTTCTCCTTTCCGGGGAGGGAAAAGTCATTGTGCCCTTCTGGGGCACCTGCTCGATTCACAGGGATTGCCCCTTCTGTGGGAGCTGCCTGTTCCCCATCTACAGGGTGCACGCAGGATATAGAGCCATAGCACTGTATAGAACGGATAGCACCTAGCCCCCGGTTAAAACTGGTTGGACTTGGGGGAGATAGTGAACCTGGGCCAGTTGGAATCTGCTCCCTATTTGCAATTTGGATAAGGGACAACTGGTATCTTCTGTAACTGGATCTCTGATAGGTAAACGGAGAGGGTCAATGGAAAGGCATGTTCTGGAGGCAGACATGGAAGGAGAGGCACAGAAGCTTCCAGAAGAATGAAGCAGAGACAAGGGACAAGTCCTGCCCAGGTCCCTGCCCTCTGCATGCTAGGCGGCTTGTCTTTATCCTCATGACCTCATGATCCTCCACCTCTGTGTCACTTCCAACTCCTCAGTGTGCTCCTGTTGTTCGCTGACAACAAATGAGAATGAGAACGGTCTCCCGTATCACTAGCTTCCGTCGTAACCCAGCTCCCGCCATGTGTTTAAGATGGAGAAAAACTTAGATGACCAATGGCATGTCATTTGCCTCTTGGGGAGATCACAAGAATGTCCCCTTTCTACACAAACTCCAACCTGGAGGGTCTAGGAGCCGCACGGACAACAGCAGCCAACAAGTAGGCTGTAACACATCACGCCATCCAGCCTCCTTCTGGGCTGTGCGTGTACACACGTGCACACGCAACACACGCACACAGACCTTGATGGCTTCCTTTATCTCATAAACGTCATAGAGGATTGGAGTCTTCATTAGAGCCAAGATTGTCTTCTCAAAGTTTCCTGACAGTTCGGATTTCAGATCTTTGATCAAATCCTGGTTGGATATTCAAACAAACAAACAAAGACAAGCCTATTTTGAGACTTCACAGAAAGTGACTAATAAAAACAATATCCCAGACCTGAGGGCCAACAGCATCAGCACCACCTGGGAGCCTGGGAGAAAAGCCTGATCTCAGGCCGCACCCCAGATCTGCCAACCAGAGCCTGAATTCTAGCAAAATACCCAGGGGATTGTGGCACATTAAAGTTTGAGAAGCACTGGAATAGAACACTGACCTATTTAATATTTACCCAGTTTTTACCTTTCTAAGATCCAAAATGCTGCAAGTTCAAAATATACCCTCCTTGCATTTGTTCAGCACTTAAAGCTCTTATATCAGCTAAACCTCCTAGGGTGGTGAAGAGGGCAGGAGAGGGGAAACTCAGGACTGGGTGGTGTGGAGGGAAAATAATGTGTCCACAGTCTTAGCAAGTCATGGCAGAGCCAGGGCTAGAACCCAGATGTTCAGTCACCTCTCATCAAACCTCAGTACCCCATGGACTCTGGGTTTCTCCCTCAGGGCATCCTTCACCTCTACAAGATGCCACCAGCTGGGAGGCCACTTGCTAGGTGGGCAGCAGGAAATGCCCTAATGCACCTGACTATCCATCCAGGAAATCTAAGCCCACTCAGCCCCAAGGAAAAGCAGGGGTGAATAGGGCTGTGCTGGAGATGGCTCCCATGCTAGAGCCAACGATATGCCTTTCTGTCCTTCTGCACACTCCCCACACCGCACCTTGCCGTAGGCTGTCTTAAAGGACAGGAGGATCTGCTGCCGCTGCTTGTTGGAGCGACTCCCCAGGCAGTCGATGATGGCCTGTTCATCAGTCCCTGGAGGAGGAAGAAGTCAGGGGTGACAGGGCTGTGGGTCACAGGGATGCTCGGCAGTTGTAGACTCTTCTGGCCTGGGTCCTCTGATTCTCCTGGGCATCCCAGCCACACCCCTAGATCTCTTCCATCACTACTGGGGCCAGGTTTGCCTCCCCCAGCTATCCCAGCCCACACAGCCACAGTGAAACTGCCTGGGGAAACAGGCAGGGGTAGGAATTGAGCCCCTTCGGTCTCTCACCAAAGCCTTTCATAGCCTTCCGCAGGACCTCGGCGTCTTGCAAGGCATCAAAGCCAAAAGCATCTGTGATGGTGCCTCGGTTTCCAAACTACTTGGACAAATAGTCACAGGTAAGATGACTTGCACACTGCCTTCCCCAGATGCAAGACTGCTCCACCCCCCGACTCTGTACCTGAAGGAAGAGCCCACAATCAACAACGCAGAGGACTCTACTCTGAGCCTCCCTAACTTGACTGTGATCTGTCCTTGTGTTCTGGTACTGAAGCTTCTTCTGCCTGGCTCCCATGGTAAGAGCCCACCTACAGCTGAGTCCTGACACTAAGAATCTGCCCTACACCCAGGTCCTCCAGGGCTGGGGCCCAGGTTCCTGCTGAAGGGCAGGCCTCAGAAGCAGGAGCCGCTGGCTTGTCCTCAATCCCCCACCAATAGTACACATTGGGGTAGTCCTAACAGGGCCTGTCTCGTCCACATGTCCCCACCAGGTAGATGCAGGCATCCAGCTATGTCAACAGTACACAGCAGCATGACTACCTCTTAGACTAGCACCAGCTCCCTGGCACTGTTCTCTAGACTATGACCTGCCTAATCGCTGGACTCCCTCCTGATCCCAACAGCCACACGAGCCGGCAAACTTGAACTTTCCAGATTAAACTGGCTCCCAGTGGATTGTCTTCCTGGGGGCTGGTATGAACTGGTTATAACACAGTTATAGAGACAAGCTCAGAGAAAAGATAAGGGAGGGAGAGTGGAGAGCAGTGGAAGGGTGGGGAAATGTGTGGGTGTGAGGTAAGGGAAAAGAGAGGACCTTCTGTCTAAAAACAGTCACCAAGCACATACCACCAGCCCTGTGGGCAAACTTGAACTTTCCAGATTAAACTGGCTCCCAGTGGATTGTCTTCCTGGGGGCTGGTATGAACTGGTTATAACACAGTTATAGAGATAAGCTCAGAGAAAAGATAAGGGAGGGAGAGTGGAGAGCAGTGGAAGGGTAGGGAAATGTGTGGGTGTGGGGGAAGGGAAAAGAGAGGACCTTCTGTCTAAAAACAGTCACCAAGCACATACCACCAGCCCTGTGCTTGGCTGGTTTGGCCATGTAACCATGACAATGAATTCTAGGCTCTACAAACATGAATTATTCTTCAAAATGAGCCAAGATCAACCCTGGAGGAACTGCCAACAATCTTCCCTACCCAAAGGGGACTTTAAGACTCCTCTAAAACCTGTCTGGGAGGGCATGCCAAGGGGACTGAAGACTAAGAGCTGTTGGGCATGAAGCCTTGAGACTGGTGGCCTGGGCGATTCTTAACAAAACACGCAGGCCAGGCAGTAAACAGCACAGGAAGAATAAAGAGCACCCACCAGGGGTGTTCAGACCCACTCACACGCAGAACATCTAACCCAACTGGGAGAAACAGGGCAGCCCCCTTAGGCTTAAGGAATACAAGCCAGGAGTGGGGAGTCTGTGAGGAAGCAACGTTCTCTGTCAGAACAAGAAGTTACAGCTGGAGGCCTGGGCCTTCCCCTTTGATCCCCACCTGCCCGGTCTTGCTGGCAGAGAACAGTGGGCCATGTGTCTCCAGCCTTTGGGGCGCAGGCATGGACTGACAGTGGCACTGGGCTGACTGACACTCACCTGGGCTGGGGGCACAGCAGGGGTGACAGTCCCGGGCCCTGGGTATCCTGGGTAGCTTGGCACCGGCTGCTGCTCCCCAGGGGGTGGAACTGGCGACTGCCCAGGGTAGGGCATTGGTGGCTGTCCAGGATAGGGCCCTGGGGGCTGCTGCCCAGGGGGTGGCATGGGCTGGCCTGGCCCAGGGGCCCCTGGGTATGGTGGATATGAGGGCATCCCAGAGGGTGGGTTTCCTCCAGGAGGAGGGTACATTCCATATGGAGGAACAGGCTGCTGGGCTGAAGGGGGCTGACCGAAGCCCCCAGGGGGGACTGGAGGATAACCGCCCCCAGGGGCTCCAGGATACAGGTTTGGCACATTGGCTCCTCCAAACGTCCCAGACATATTGGTCGCCTGAAAGTACACAAAGCAGAGTCTAAGACTAATGTCCCCAGCGGGGCACAGATGCACTCTGTCCGTCTGCCCTTCCCTGACCTGAGCCCTGCCACAGTCTCCCTGGAGCCTCACTCAGAGCTCACCCACCAGCACAATCAGCACAGCGCCAGGCCCCTGCTGCAAGGTCCTGCCTGTGCTAAGCTCTTTTCATACCTTAGCCAATTTAATCCTCACAGCACCTCCACTTGTGAACATGAATTATCATTATACCCATTTCACAGACAACAAAATGGGTTCAGAGACCTGAAGTCATTCACACAACCAGTAAATGGTGCAGCTGGGGTTCTGATTTAGATCTCTCTGGACCCAAGCCATAGATCCTCAACCCCTTCTGCAGGTGACAGGGCCTTCTCCAAATGGCTGCTCCCTCCATCCCAGACCAACTGGGTGAAGGAAAGAGCTTACAGCCCAAGAGGTATACAGGCCCCTTCTGCAGGCTTGGGGGTGGCCTCAGAACATCATCCTGCTAACCACACACACCTCTGGCAGGTGTGGCACAGGCGTGGCTCAGGTGGATTTATACTCACCCAGAATAAAAGCCTGCATCTTTACGATGGCCTCCTATGCCCTAGAAACCTGTATCCCCAGACTTCATCCCTGCTCTTCAGCCACAGTGGCCTCCTCACTGTCCCTGAGCATCCCACGGGCACCTCAAGGTGCTGGCGTTCGCTAGACATCCATATAGCACAGCCCTCCCCTACTTCAGATCTGTGTTCAAATCGTGATACCCCATCTTAACATCATTATTCCACATCTCCTGCACTCCTGACCCCTTTACCCTGCTCTTCTTTTCCCACAACACCCACACTTTCAATAACGCCACACAGCTAACTTATGTTTACAGCCTGTCTCTTCCCAGCAGATGACAAGTGCACCAGGGCTGAGGTGTCTGTTTGTTCTATTCATATATCTCCAGTGTCTAGAACTGGGCCTGGGACTAATTAGAGTGTATACCGGTTACACTATTCCTACTAAGCATACATTTGTTTTCAGATTATAAAATGCTATTTTAAAAAAACAAATAAAAGTTGCATGTTTGCCCAAGTTACCTGCCATATGACCACCCAGGCCCAACCAGAATAGCCATCCATATACACATGCACACACACAACACACATGTGCACGCAACTGCACATTCACAAACACACAAGCACATACTCTCACCTCCCTCCCATCCCTATGTTGAGCTCAAAAAGAAGGTACTCAATAAATACTCCATAAAGGCATCACCTACCCAACCCCCCAGAGCTGAAAGGGGCCTAAGAGACCACCCAGTACAATGCATTCCCCTTCCCACATTATAGATGGGAAAATTGAGACCCAGAGAGGGACAGTGAGGATGTGGCAGAACCCTGATGGAAACCCTCATATTCTAAGATGCAGCTCAAAACACTCCACACCCTCAGGTGAACACACAGACACCTCTGAAGCCACAGAAAGCCAGCAGCCTTGATCCCTTGGCCATGCACGTATGGCCCCCAGGGGCAGCCTCAGCAGGAGGGCTGGACTCACCATTCCCGAGACGTAGTCCTGGTCGAACTGCCCTGCATAGCCGGCCACATTATCCAGCCCAATGGGGGGAATGTTGGGTGGCGGGTAGCCAGCACATCCCCAGGGGCCACAACCTGAAAGCAATACCAAGCCTTTCAGTTCCTGTCTGTCCCCTGCCAAAGATGAAGGCAGAGATACAAGCTCCCAGGGAGTCAGGAAGGGAGGCCAGGTAGAGCCTTGGGGACAACACTACAGACCACACAGAAAACCCTTGAGGGAGAAAGTCTCCCCACGTCCTGTTGCCAGAGGAAAAGAAGAGGAAGTCTTCCCCTCCCTCCAGGGAGGAAGACAGGGTTCAGCAAGTGCTCCCAAGATACTAAGGAGGGATACTAAGGAGGAAGGGAGGGCTCAGGGCAGGCTCTGCCCTCCCAAGCTCACCATCACAAAGCACGGCAGCAGACAAAGGACAGGCCATGCTGGGACATGTACTGAGTCCACTACAGTGTGTGAACTCTGGGAGTTCTGAGAACCCAAGTAACGCAAAAGGCTGGGGCAGGGGAGGGCGGGGAGGGTTGGAGGGTATGACTCGGCTATTTGCTATGTCAAGTCTGTAAGAGGCAGGAAGAAGCACAATGTGAGGAGGGAGGGGAACAGGCCAGGTCATGAAACACACAGACACTGGTCCACAAGGAACAGCAGGGGAACAGCGGTGGAAAGCTGGACTCTGAAACCAGTGGGACCGAATGTGTGCCCTGGGGCCAGGCTCTCCACCACTCTAGGCTCATTTCCTATGCAAACAAATGCAGATAATTAGTGTGTGCCTCCAACTGCTGTGATAAGGACAGGCTGAGCAGGGCTTAGCTGGGCACAGTGAGTTAATGCCCAAGCAGGGCTTAGCTGGGTGACCAAGAGTGTTCACATGTGACCCTGCCACTGAGAGCTGCGGGACAGCAGCTGGCATCTCCACACGGGCTCTTGGCCTGTTAGACACACTCCTGTCCTATTCTCGGCACCCTCGAGTTCAGCTCTTCAGCTGCAGGGCTCCCGGATATTCAGGGCAGTTGCTTTTCTCAGTCCCCTGCCTATTCCTTCTCTTGCTGCTCAGAGGTTGAATGGCTGTGCTGACAAAGGGGCAATGGCAGGACAGGGAAGGCAGGACTTCCATTAGAGAGAGGGGAACTGGACTGGGCCGGTGTTGGCAAATCTGGGGTGGAGATTGCTTAAGAGAGAAATGGCCCAGCTCAACCCCCGAAATGCCCTGTGAGAGTGGCTGAGCCACCTCCCTGCTCTGAGGCTGTTAAGAGCTGGGTCCAGGTTCTGATTACCTGACCAGGTGGTGCAGTCACAGCCTTGTCACCTACAGCTTCTGGCAGCCACAGCAAGTGGCATCTAATCCTTAGCATCTGCCTGCATGAGACAGTCTCCACTTCCTCCCTCAGCAGGGGAACTGCTGCAAAACCATGCACCTTAAGCACAGGGCAGGAGAAGTGACAAGAGCAATCACCCCATAGCAACGCTCTGGAGGACACCATACCACAGGCTTCAGATGGCTATCTCCATAGTATCTGGGACAGCCCAGGAAGGGAGGGATCTCTGAAGCAATTTTGCAAAGAAAACTGAGTGTCAGAGAAGTGAAGGCATTTGCCCACTGTTACCAGCTAATAAGGCAAAAGACCCATTCCTGGCCTGGTCCTGGCCTTCCAGAACAGTTTCAAGCCCAGGCCTCCCCTGGCCCTGGCCTTGATGCTCTTCTCCAGCCCCTGTCCCCACCTGGTGGTTCCTCCCCTCTGAGTTGTGCTATGGCAGGGAGGCTGGGGAGTGAGGAAACCACATTACTCCCCTTGCCACTCCTGGCTGCTGAGCAGAGAGGGGCATTCACTCCTCCACCCTTTCCCAGACCCTCTTACCTGGCGGAGGTGGTGGGTGGCCATGCGGGGGATATCCTGGATAGCTCATGGTTAAATCTGGAAGGGAAGAGAAAAGCGCATCAGGCTCTGCCCAGGAGCCCTCACCAGGCTTGCCCGGCACAGCAGCAACCACAACCAGGGCTTGTGGAGGAGGAGAAGTTGCATCAGGTCTGGCATGTGGCAACGCAGTTTATCCTCAACCTGCTGGTGCCTCCAGCTAGAAATAGCACCTGCTGGCATGCTGCCCAACTTCTGGGCCAGGGCCAGGCCCTCGCCCCAGCCTCACCTCATGCTGTAGGAGGATTCACCACTCACGAACCTGTGCAGTTCCTTGAAAACTCCTCCCACTCAAGCTTCACTCCACCCCTGCTGACAGGGGGTGCAGCGTGTGTGTCTGGACCTACCTTCTGACCTTGGAGCCAGAGAGCACACTGCCTCATTCTCAGGCCTCAAGGTCTGTCTTTATCATCCTATGTCCTTACCACCACCCATCTGGCAACAGGGGAAGCAAAAGCCCATCTCCCTGTGCCCAATCTATAGAACCCAAGCTGTCCCCAAGCTGCTGCCCCATCTTGGATCTGACCCGAGATATATTTTTCAATCTCCAACCTCTGGTTCACCAGGCAAGGGGATCTATAAGTTATGGAATCATTACTCCTAGAAATAAGACAGGCCCTCAGGAGGGCTCATCTGATGCAGGGTCCAGAATCAGGGCAAACGAGGCCCCACCAGACTGTTTCTGAAGATGAGGCAGTTGAAGCTTAGGGAGGGTAAGTGACTTGGAGATCAGTCCATAAAGGAAGAAGTGAGGCCTGTAACCCACGGCTCGGGCATGATGGTGCCAGGTAGCGCACCTGCTCTCACAATGTCCCTCTGTACAGGGATCCCTCGACAGTGTCCCATGCCAATTAAACTGCCTGGGAGGGACACAAATCTGCTCTGACACCAGCCACTGAAAAACCCTCATGCTCATGCAACTTACTAATTATCCTTGCTAATCAGTGGTTTGCAGATGCACCCAATGACAAGGCCTCCTCAAGAATCACACCCGCTGGTCCCAGGTGAGCTGCTTTCTCCTTACACAGCACAGCAGGTCTCAAACTGCAATATGCATCAGAATCACCTGGAGGAATTGTTGAAACACAATGCTGGGCTCCACCCAAGAGGTTCTGAGTCAGTAGAACCAGAATTTGCATTTTGAACAAATTCCCAGAGGATGTTACTGGTCCGGGGACCCCACTTTGAGAACCCCTACTCTAGATACTAGCTACCTACAAGATTATAGTTGTCCTTCATATCTACCTTGAAGAACTGAGCATGTTTTTTTCAAGGAAGCTGAAGGACTTCCTTAAGGTGCCACTGGTCCACACGGGGGGGGGAGGGGGGGAGCGGGAGGAGGGGACAGCGGCTGGGCAGGAATGAGCAGGATGCTGGGAGGGACGGCTGGTGGCCTGGAGTCTGCGCACTGCCCGGGCAAGGGGAGGGGGGGGGGGGGGGGGGGGGGGCTGGTTCTCTGCCCTATGAGCATGGTCATTTGTTTTGGTCAGTGGGTCCAGAGGCAACCGTAGGCAGATCATTGGGAAGCTAGATGATGTCTTAGTGGGCTTGGAGAAAGCTGGAATTGGCAACCTGCACCATGGACAGAGGACAACTTCCCTTTGCACAGCTTTCAGTCTTTCTGAGCCCTTAAGCATGTGGTGACTGAGGTCCCCAGTGGGGCTGCCTTCATCTCCCAGCGTGACTCATCTCCCTGTGGCTGGGTGAGCCATCAGCACAAAGCTCTCCAGGTCCTGCCCTTAGCCTGATCCTTCTGCCCAGATAGTCCCAGATCCCTCAGACCTCACTGACAAGAAGGTAGCCTGGGGGGATGTCAATGGCAGGTGGGCAAGGAACCTGCTGATAGGAGGAACCACCTCGCAGGAGAGCAGGGCGAGCTGCAATTGTGTCTCTGACACCACGCCCTCTGGAGACACCACTAGGCAGGATCTCTGGGCACCAAAGACCCACTTTCCACTCCTCATCTCCTCCCAGAGAATGAGCCCACAGCCAGGCAGGGGGGACACAAACGACAGCAGCTGGACACCACCCTGTTACTTACACCAAAGAAATTTCAGTCAGGCCAAGGATTTAAATGTAAGTAGTAGACCTAAACCTCAAAGGCATAAAATAAAATTTCTACATTATAAGAAACAAAGAAAACAAAAACCAGAGAAATACAAACTTAGGGGGAAAGTTCTACTGTAATAGACCTAAACCTCAAAGGCATAAAATAAAATTTCTACATGATAAGAAACAAAGAAAACAAAAACCAGAGAAATACAAACTTAGGGGGAAAGTTCTACTGTAACAGAGAATGTAACAGAGGACCCTGAACAATACTAAGGTACACACAGGCTAAACTCCCTCCACGTGGGAAACCGTTGACCTCCTCATAGAAGCGGGAACTATCTGCGTGAGAAACCATCGAAGGCAGAAACCGTTGCCTAGAAACAGAAACCATACACAATAAAAATTTTATGCCTGATTGCTTTAACTGCTCACTTCTGACTTCTGTGACCTGCCTTGCTTTGTGCACCTGGACAAACCCATGTACTAAGGGGATGTGGTTTTTGCCTTTATAAACTCCAGCAGACTAAGGCTAGCTGCTGTTCTCCCAAAATACCTAAGGGAGGCATTCGCTGGCCAACTAATAAAGACTCTGTTAAAATTCTTAATTGTTTGGTTCCTTCCCTGAGTGACACATCACAACATTTGGAGGCCCCAGAGAGATTCCTGTCACTCACTCAGAGGAACCAAAAAACCGCAGCTTTGGACGCAGGGTAACGCGGCAAGTCTCCCTAGGGGAGGCCACTGAGACGGAAATCGGCCCCTGAGTCCTTTGGCCCCCCGCCAGAGAGCCCAATACAACCAAATTCTTCAATTGGCACCAGAGTCTTTATTCGTCCTATTATCCTGCATCTTGGACCTCTGGAGGTAAGCTTTGGTTTGAAATCTCAAAAACTTGGTATTGCATTTGGGTATCAGAGCTCTGATTTGAGACCCAAGTGGAAGGCTGGAAACAGCATTACTTCCTGGGTCTAGGACTCCCGTGAGACGTTGCCGGATCCTTTGGTCTGGAATTTGGACGTGGCCACTTGTCTTTGTCTTTTGTGTGTTGCTGGTTGTGTGTTGTTGTGTGTCATTAACTGTGGTCCTATAGAACATAATGGGACAAAATTCCTCCAAACAGGTCTGTGGGGCAATGCCCCTACAGTGTATGTTTAACAATTTTAAGTACTTCCAAATGAAGGCCACTGATTTTGGAATTTCATCCAACCCATTTGACCTAAGGAAATTTTGTGTTAAATTGGCTAATGTTTGGAGTTGGATGGCCCTCATATGGAACTACAGACCTCCCTACCACCTACCAAGTACAGGAGGTTTGTTTTGGCCAACCAGGCCACCCA